AGTTTTTTAAAAATGGAAAAGAGGCAGAAAAAGAAAATTATTAGCAAAGTACTCATTGTTTCAGGCAAGGCCGCTGTCCTAAGGGGAAAGGAAGGGGCCCATCTGGCAGAGATCGTCTCTCTAGTGCTGACCAGGTAATTCCAGGTTGACTGCTTATAGGTACATTCCTGGGGGAGGCTGAGACTGCAATTAGGTTAATTGACTTGGGTGGGTGATGTGGGACTTAACACAAGTGACTCCATTTTGGGTCTGTTGTTTCTTTTTAGCAATAGGATGCATAATATATCCTAGAACATTAGCTTTTGTTGCTCCCAAGCATTGTAAATAGCCTTTGTTCTTCTTTGCTCTTCCTCTGCGTACCTCTGGGGAAATGTGGGCCTTTTTGAAATGGATTTCTACTTTCTTAAATAGAAGTTGAAATATTTCCAGATGATAAATAGCTTTGAGTCTGTAACCCAGGCAGGGGAGTTCTCAACTCACATTGGGCTGTTAAAGGGAATCCCCAACCTTGTAAAGCAGTTTTCCTCTTGCTCAAATGGCAACAAGCAAGCCAGGAAGAACAAATGAACCCCCTTTGGGAGCAGAGTGGAATAGATGTCAAATATTCTTGAGCGTTCAGTGGCTTCAAAAAGAGAGAAATTTTGCATTATACCATTACTCAGACAGAGTTATAAATCATCTTTGGGTCTGGTCTTCTTTTGTCAGTAAACAATGCGTTAAAAAACAATCTAATGGCTTTGTAGCTGATAACAGTGGCCACTGTGATGTTCCTGAGAACATAATAGGCATTAACAGGAAACTAAGCAACTATAAAAATGGAAACACTAAGTATTTTATAAGGTCACCAAGGAGAATCTAGCAAAAGTCATTTGTTTTATACATAATGAAATTATTTCAGGCAAAGAAACTCACATAAAATTGTCTTACACTCATTTTTGCAAGTTTATCTGAATGCATCCTGTATGTAAATAAAACAGTTTCTCCTTTCAGCAAACCCCATGCTCTCCCCATGCCTAGTAATCACCCCCTATCCTGGCAAATAGCAAATGAAAATAAAATCACTGCTGGACATAGTAATATAAAAGCAGTTTCTATTCTTATGCGCACTTTTCAACCCAGAGAAAAGAGGAATACATTCCTTCTTTTGTGCAGCAGTTTCTAAAATATAAACAGAGAGATTAACTTTAGATTAGCTTTCTCAAAACTTTTAAGCGCTAGAATTCAGTTTCACTTACACTCTGAAGCTTGGTATCTTTTTTAAGCCTCTTTTGGCATCTCATTTTCACGCTCCATCTGAGATGACTTGGAAAACATCAGAAAATAACAACACCCCTTCCACAAAACAACTGCCTGGACACCGCATATTTCTACATCCATCATTTAGGGAACTCTGTTTCTAGGACAAATTTTATTTTAAGTGTCAATACTAAAAGATGATTTTATTGGAGTTGGCTGGGTCAATCAGTAAATACAGTCAGCACCTACTCAGAAACAGCTTTTTAAAAATAATTGAAATAAGAAACATTGCTTGCTGTTATTTTTAAATGGCTAGAAGAAATTACTAGCTTGCTGTGTGTGTAGCTTAAAGTGCCTGTATAAAATGGCATCATGTGAGTTTTCTAGGTAACACAACCCAAAGATGAGCCAGAGCACAGGAATCCTCCCTCGGTAGCCCTCCCTTGTTTATGCAAATGGACTAAGTAGCTTCGCAGTGCAAGCTATGCCTGAATTAAATCCTTTGCTGAAGAATCAAAAAAATAATAATTTCATCAGTAGAGATCAATTTCTAGAATCATTCAAGATTCTAAAATTTTGATAAAAATTATCATGGTTTTGATCTTGAAAATTACCCTTTTATTTTGAGGAACTAAGCAATTAAACACCTACACATTCATCACATTGTTTATAAAGAGATAAGCAAAACCCATTGCCTTCCTTAAATGCATATGCTACAAACATTCAAAATTAATTTTGAATCATTTCAAATGCCACTGAAATATCATTATAGTATATTGTTTTGAAAGTACTGACTCATTTATTATTTTTAAATATTATGCATATATGTGTAATCAGAAATATATATACATATAAGAAAACATGTGAATATGTTAATATGTGTGTACCATTTTAGATATGCATATATATATTTATATGCATTTATTAATATATAAATACATATATAACTGAAAGTGTATAAAAATTATCAAAGAAGTTATCTCTTAGGTAAGAGGCTGATGGGGATTTTCACTTTATAAGATTCTCTATCTAAATTATTGTATATGTAGTATGAAGAAAATTCTACAACACTCAATATCAGGCCAACATCATTTATTTAATATTAGAATTAATTGTGGATAAACATCTATGATGTAAGCTAGTCACCCATGTGTCTGACTTAATCAACACATTGAATAACTAGTTTTGCATATTGCCTTCCAGTGCAGATTATTGTACGCGATCTCCTTTAAGGCATTATCCTGCAATGAGCTACTATAAAAATTCTAATCTTCTCAGGAGCTTTACATGAATCAAGTTCATTTTCAGTTCAAATTTTAACATATTTTCAAATATTTTTTTGAAGCTTTCATCTCTGCAAAACTCAAATTTAAATTAGAAGGGAAAGGTGGAAGCAGGAGTAACAACACTAATTTAATTTGGATTTCGGATAGAGCTGAAAACACATTTGCTTTTTTATTATGTCAGTTTGAAAAGAAAATGGTTCTGATTTTAGCTAAATGAAGATTTTTTGGTAACTACTTGGATCACGTTGTAAAACCCTATTTAGAGTTTTCACTTGGTTTCCACAATATTACCACATATTTTTTGAGCTGTTGGCAAAATGGATACAGTTTATGAAGTCATTGCTTTTGCATTGAGCTTTTGCCCGTCTCATATCTTTAGATAAATTCGAGAGCAAAAGCAATACCTAGTGCATTGAATATTTTTAATAGTGTGGTTGAAATCTGTAATTTGAAATTCCTAAGTTCAAAGAAGATTTATCTTCAGCTTGATTTTACCCCTGAAACTTCTTACACTTCACAGCAGTTTGTAAATAATTAGAAGGGAAACTTCCTCCTGTCATTCACGGCATTTTTCTTAGACTTGAGGAAAATATCCAGAAACTTTCAAAGAAAAATCAGAATCCTTTCCTCATTCTCTTCATTATATGGCTTTCTCGGGTCTAAATCCTTTGCTCAGACTCACGTACGAATACGCTATCAGAGCAAATTTTGAAATCAGTACAAATTTACAAAATGAATAAATTTATTTTAATAACATGCATTTGAATGACGATGCGATCTTACAGAACCTAAACCAGAATGTAGAATTTAAGAACAAAGACGTAGCCACAGTTGAATTTATGTTTTTTTTATATTAGTAATACAAATACCAGAAAGTCTATTTGCAAAAGGATGTTTATATAACTTACAATATTTTCAAAGCTTTTTTTTTTTTGGTGTTGAAACATTAAGAAAAAAAAAGAAAAATAGAACTCATTCTTACCCAAAATTTTTCAAGAGAACTGTTTTTGTCTGCACATTTTAAAGCACAGCTCAAATGGCTATGGACACTGTAAAAGTTTAACACTTTTCCTTTGACCTATCTGTTGACTGAAATGAACTTTTAAATATAAAAACGTGGACATTGAAATCAGATGCTGTACCCAAATGAGTGAGAATAGTTTAAAACAGATCAGCATCTGAATGAAAATAATACATATTATTTATAAGAATATATATTTTATAAAATTAATAAAAACTATGTATTTAAAATACATTTTTAAGTATACATATCATTAAAGAGTTACATATAATGTAATATTTATGTAATTTAATATATATAACATATTTATTCATTTTGAATAATTTCTAAATCTACAAGACAAGGTCTACCTTCCATTAATTATTGGATTCCCCTTTGAAATACACTGACTTACAGTATCACAATGATAATTTCTCTTCTCTTTTTTCCTCACCTTTGTGTCATTTATATATATCCTATTTCATACTATGCTGGTGAATTATACATGTGTTGAATTTCAAAAGGAATTAACAGAAGTTCAAAACTTTTCTTTAAGGTTTCAAATACAGAATGTCCTCCAAAAATGTATATACACTTTAGATAACTCAACTGATGCTTCTTTCTTTTGAGATTTAACCCATTGGAGTTAATAATGGCAGCCCAAGTGTGTATACATTTTTGCGGGACACCCTGTAGATAGTGTCTTAGAACAAGGCATTCGTCTGCGAATGTGAAAGGATAACCAGTGACTCTCCCCGGCATTTGGATGAGTAACTTTGCGTAACTCATTGAAAGTCGGGGTGTTACAATGAGAGAAGGGCACCATGCGTGAGGAAGCTGTCCTGGTCTGCCAGAACTCTCCTCTCCTTTCAAATGGAAAGGCCCCATGTTTTCTCAGTTTCTTCACCTTATCTCGACTGAATTCAGGTCCTTGGTTTCTATCTCCAGGATATTTGGAAACTTTATGATTTGGTACTGATGAGAAAATTTACTATAATTACAGTTACGAAAAATGAAACAATAAGTGCACTTAAGGTTTGTGTATTTTATTCTATGAAAATTGTATCTCCAAGAGCATATCAAAGAAGTAAATAGGTACAAATGTTCAGAATAGTCATATTTATGCATGCTGATGCATTTGGGGGTGTTCTGATCTCTGCAGTGTTATAAGAAATAAGATGGATTGACAGAAAGCTGAAATGAGGGTGGATATGTGATCTATCTATGTGACAAGTCAAGCAGATTAAAAGGTGAATGGTGGAGTCTTTGGGATATACAGGTGTTCGCCACATATTTTTCAAACTTTGGTTTTAAAGTGTTTATAATCAAAAAGTCGGTGTAATATAAACAAACAGCAAAAAAAGAACAATATATTTTTTTGTTTTACTTTTCTGATAAAAAATTGTACTGCAAGTATGGCGTTTTACCCTAGAACCATCCTTTCATGGTTTTCATTTTCTCTCCCCCCTTCCCCCCAGCTCCATTCTGACTTAGATAAGGGAGAGGGCACCGTTAAATACACCCTCTCGGGAGACGGCGCGGGCTCCGTTTTTACCATCGATGAAACTACAGGGGACATTCATGCAATAAGGAGCCTGGATAGAGAAGAAAAACCTTTCTACACGCTTCGTGCCCAGGCTGTGGACATAGAAACCAGGAAGCCCCTGGAGCCGGAATCAGAATTCATCATCAAAGTGCAAGATATTAATGATAACGAGCCCAAGTTTCTGGATGGACCGTATGTGGCGAGTGTCCCAGAAATGTCTCCTGTGGGTGAGTAGGTGCTACAAGGCCTTTTCATGTTTATTTTCTGCAAGTCAATGTAAACATCTTATTTGTAACCCATAAGGTTATGCTTCCGCTATAGAGGATATGATTACTTTCATTAATTTTTTTCAATTTTCTTTCTTTTTAATTGTTCCTTTGTTGTCATTCTAAATATATAAATAGATTCATAAATATCGAGGATATATAACATCCTTCACTTTTTTCCAATCTTTACATTGCCCCGAGCTCTCAGAATTCCTTTGTACTTTCAGTGCAACACTCACTTTGCCCTGAAATTGTCATTACAATTCCAGATACCTCCATAGCTGGAGGGAGCCACCACACTTACCGACACCAGATAGTAATTCTTGGCTGAAAGTAAATTATCCAAAGCATGTATTACATCTGAGTCTGAAGGTGGTTCCGAAAGGGGTGCGTTGCATCCTTTGTGGATCTCTCCTTCAATAGAGATTCCAGAGAATGATATTGTTTTCTTTGTGGCTGTAGGTCACCATAGTAGCTAAGCCTTCATACCAGGAAACAAATATGATTATNAGAGATTCCAGAGAATGATATTGTTTTCTTTGTGGCTGTAGGTCACCATAGTAGCTAAGCCTTCATGCCAGGAAACAAATATGATTATGAAGTCATTATTAGAATAATTTTACAATTAGGCTATACAGTAGTATCATCTTCCTTCTTNATGATTATGAAGTCATTATTAGAATAATTTTACAATTAGGCTATACAGTAGTATCATATGATTAATAATAATATAAAATCACATTTCAATAACAACCTAAATTTACAAAGTCCTATAATATATATTTTAAGGTTGATGAGTTAAGTTTTCCAGGTTTAACGACAGTTTTTAATTATAACATTTATTCCTCGGTCACCATTGCCAATCCCTTAATTTATTTCAAAGTAAATTTTAGCTTCTAGCTCATTTGTAAGATAAAGCAACTCATCACTTCCAGGTAACAACTTGAAACTCCTATGTGAGACATTGCTCACATCTCCTACACTCCTCAGAGGACGTCTGCTGCCCTTCCAACTGTCCTTGACACATGAGGAGAGTCAGGAGTGTCACACTCAGTACCCTGAGGGCAGAAGCAGGTTACTGCCTATAGGAGCTGTCACATGGATTGATCATAAATGCACTTGAAATTGTGCCTGTGACCTTCTTGGCCATTCAAAGACCATTTTCTCTCCTTGACCTGAGAAATTAGCTCAGAGTAGTTCATTTAGGTTTGAAATTTGTGTGTGTGTACTCAAGGCTGCACATCTGTTACTCAGGTTCTGCTACATTTTCCAGCTGCCTCTTTTATGTGTTGCTATGGTTGCTAGAGATTTAGAAACACAATTGGAAGATGCCTTATTAGAAAAGTAGAGCCTGAAATGAGGAAAAGCGANTGCTAGAGATTTAGAAACACAATTGGAAGATGCCTTATTAGAAAAGTAGACCCTGAAATGAGGAAAAGCAATTTTTTTAAAGTTGTGCTTTGATTTTACAGGGGGAGAAAAGTGAAGATAATATTTTGAGGAAAAAGGTGGCTTTTAAAGAGACAATGCTCTTTAGTAATAAATGGTTTAACTTGCTGCTGACTTCATGAAAATTGGAGATATTTACATGAATTCATGACCCTCAGTGACACTTTATTACCCAAAGAGCATCCTTAAAGCAAACACACACTCCCCTCTCCAGTATTAAAAAATTCTCTCACAAACAATTGTTCTGTGTTGTGCCAGTTAGGATAAAAGATAGCTGCAGAGTCTGAGCCCTTAAATAAGGAGTTCACCCTTAGTGTTTAGAAGAGGGGAATAAATCTGGAAAATCAGGCAAGTGGTAGGTGATGGAGAGAACAAAATAGTTTTTGCGTGCTATTGGGTTGAGACATGGTTTGCTGTACTACTGTGAGGTATCAGAGAGATCTATAGAAGAATATACTGCATCTACATAATATACTCTTTCTGAATAGATACTAAAATGTATAAATACCACGTACAAATTAAATACTATAAATTGAATATCTAGCAGACACTAATTTTACCATTCCTGACAATCCTGCCTATACCCATATAACCAAAAGCAAAGGAGACCCAGTTAGATTTGTGGTGTTTTTTGTTTTAGCTTTTACATGGCCAATCTAAAGCTAACGAAAGCCAACAGTTCATCCAGGCATCATATTGATGTTCCCAGAGCTCCTGAACTCCAGTCCCTGGCATACCCTTCTTACCATAGAGAAATGCTTCACTGCTCTAATCACTTTGTCTAACAAATATTTTTTTTCTCTATTTTTTTAACTCACACCTCATCTAGGCAATTTCTGCCTATGTATAATTTTCTTTAGAATATAAAAATAATTTTTGGTCAAGATCACATGCAGCTTACCATGTTATATTGGGCAGTACATTGTTGTTTCAGCAAATCCCTCTCTCAGTTTTATATATCTGTATTCGAGGTATTCTCTAGGAAATAGCTGTTCTTTCCCAATAATTGAGAATGTTCCTACTTCATTTTCAATAAAAGAGAAGAATTGAGCAGTGTAAAAATACGTATAGTAAAATAGCTTATTTTGTAATATGAAATACCAAGAAATACTGGAATATTGAAACAAAGTTTATCATGCAAATGTCTATTTAGCAATAATGGAGTGTACATCTGAAAATATGGTGAACAATTAAACCTAGAATGAAGATTAACTAAAGTGAAAATTATAAAGAACATAACTGTACAAAGGGCAGACGTTGGTGAACGGGATAGGTAAAGATTTCAGAGGAGATCAATATTTAAGACCTGTAAAACTGTGGAATATATTTAGTTCCTGAAAGCTGCAGAAAATTCTGGTGAATCTATGAATTGTTTAAGAGAAAGGTCATTTTGTTACTAACTTGTGCGACATCCAATATGCCATGAAATAATATTCATAGTTAAAGTGCTTTTACTCTGACCTAAAGAAATGACTTAATGATCCAGAGGTTCTCCAGCTCAGTCACTCCTTGGAGAGGAATCTGGTCGTTATGAATGTGGCCTTAATTCTCTAAAATCACTAGAGTAACAATGAATTACACTAATGCGCCCTCTCCAGATCTGCTAATTATGCATCAGTAGGGTGTGTAGTTTAAGTTACCTTTCCTAGAGCGCTGACAAGTTAACGTCTTCAAATCCGTATTTATACTTGTGTTATCTTATTCAGCCTGAGCTACGCTGTTTTGAGGCAGCTGATTGGGTCATTGGTACCCAGGTCTCTATGACACGTTTTATAGATGTCAATTCTGAATTACAATTTATGTAGTAAGACCTACCATTTTCTGAGCAATAGTTGGAGGCCAGAAAATCGAACTATAGATTTCCATTCACTGTTCTATTTAATCATTACAAAAAGTTCATGCAGTGTTGTTTACTGTTTGATCTTTATTTTTATATGAAAGCTTAACTCCTGTGTATCAGAAAGTAAGTGTGACTCCAAAGCTCTTTAGAATGTACAATTAGTTACACCTTTTATTTTGGGGATAGTGATTTTTAAAATGTCTTTGGGGGCCTTAAATTTAGTTTACGATATCAGATGAGCTAGCTGGTCCTTCCTTTAGATATTACCACTTATTTAAATTATCCCTTGCTTTCCGGCCAAAAACTATGTTTGGGACTTGTCTTGCACTTTTCCTGCCCAGCCCTGGAATATGCTAGAAACTCTCTTATATGAAGATTAATATTCAGAAGCCAAAATCTGGTTTCTATGTGTATTCTTTGCTATTGGAGTGTCATTGAATCCAGTCCCTTTCAATAGGCACAACTAAAGAATATATTTAATCATATATACATACAGAATATTTGTGTGTCCTTTTACATATATGGAAAACAATTATTTCATTCTAATACCGCCAACTCCAATCTAACACCATCATTTATTCCAGTTTTCCTTAAACCTTTTTATAATTTATAACTCTGTTTTCTGAGTGAGAATTCTGGCTCTTTTTATTNTACCGCCAACTCCAATCTAACACCATCATTTATTCCAGTTTTCCTTAAACCTTTTTATAATTTATAACTCTCTTTTCTGAGAGTGAGAATTCTGGCTCTTTTTATCTTGAATGTATTTTCTCTTTTGATTAAGCCCCTGTTTATAACCAACCTTTCACTGTCACCAACCCTTCAATCCCCTTGCCGATGCCCTGATGACTCCATTCGAGCTTTGATCATCTGAACTGGCTGTTTCCACTGTTTTCTCTCTCTCGCTGTGGAGGTTTTGCTCACCTCACTAGTGCTCTGAATCCCCAAGCACAGATACCTTCCTCGCAGCAACAGATCTCTGACACCCATTGCAGTGCTTCCGAGAGGATGCCTGCCTCAGTCTGCTCCGGCTCCAGCACCTTGCTCTGGCCTGTTGCAGCTGCAGCCCAACGCTTCCATTCCCGTATCTCTGTCAGCACAAAGGCCTGCCTCTCCCCACCCCTAGTAGGTCTGAAGACTGAATTATTCTAGATCAGCAAAGAGGAAGGAGTTCTCTGATTCGTAAAGGGACTTGGAGTGTTCCTAGAGTCAACTGTCTCTGGATTGTATGTTCACATGTTTAAACAGTGTTTAAATCAGGGGTCCTTCATTCAGTTTTCCCTTCTTAATTTGTTGAGCTGTCCAATGTTTTATTTTTTGTGTGAGAGGCCAAAGATGACCTAGGAAATGTCTCATAAGGCCCAAGTCCATTTTCACAGAAATACTGGTTTTTCAGGCTGGAAAGTATTTTTTATTATTATCAGGAAACTAGCGGTGAAAAGGCCTAACATACAGTGGTCCAAGTTAATTATCTAATCTTTTTTTTTTTTTTTTTTTTCATATAGTTGCTCCCTCTGACATGAGCTCAAATTTACTACTGTTTTTTTCTGCAAACTGTACCAAACCTATTTAAAAACCTAACAGACTTTCTATTCCAATTTAAAGTTTCTTTGGTGCAGAGTACTGTTTTAACCTTAATGTATGGAGACAAACTGTTGATTTGTAAAAAAAC